CCTTGAGAATATTATGCTAAGTAAAATAAGTCAGTCAGAAAAAGCTAAGAACCATGTGATTTCATTCATATGTGGGATATAAAACTGAAACTCAGACATGGACAGACAACAGTATGGTGGTTACCAGAGGAAATTGGCTGAAGGCTTGGTAGAGGATAAATATATAGTGAAGGAAGATGATTTGACTTTGGACTGGAGGTACACAATGCAATATGCAGATTATGTATCATAGTAATGTACACTTGGAACCTATATGCCCCTATTAACCAATGTCATCCTAATAAATTTTTAAAAAGACAAAAAAAAATAGATTAAAGTAGTGATTTTTCAACCGGTGTGCTGCAAGAATTTTTAAAATATGCACTACCTGACTTTTTAATCAGGGACACAGACCTCTTTTCTCCTAGACTGTCAAATAAAAAAATGACAATAGCCAATGCAACAGTAGCTATCCAGTATGAATGAATCAAGTACTAGATGATCTCACTTATATGTGGAATTGAAAAAAGAGAACTCATAGTACAGAGAATAGATAGTGGTTGCTAGAGGCAGGGTGGGAGGGTGGGCAAAATGGGTGAAGGGAGTAAAAGTTACACATTTCCAATTATAAAATAAATAAATCAAGGGGATATAATATGCAGCATGGTGATTATTATAAACTAGAGGCCCAGTGCACAAAAATTTGTGCACTTTAGGGGGGGTTCCTCAGCCCGGTCTGACCCCTCTCACAGTCTGGGAGCCCTCAGGGGATGTCCTACTGACAGCTTAGCATTATTTCCTAAGACACAGTCTAGCCTCCCTCTGCGGGAGGCAACCGGCTGATCATGGGAAGGCACCGCACCCATGACCCCCTGGCTGCTGCCGCCTCTGGGCTCCCTCTGTGGGAGGCAACCAGGCCTATCAGGGGAAGGTGACGCCCCCATCATGCCACTGCTGCCACCACTGCCAGCTTCTGTGGCTGCCTGAGCTTTGGCCCGGCTCTCGCAGCAGCTGCTGCAGCTTTGTCTGGAAGGACGTTCGGAAGATGTCCGGTCTAATTAGCATATTACCCTTTTATTAGTATAGATAATGCTGAATTGTATATTTGAAAATTGCTAAGAGAGTAGATCTTATAACTTCTCATCACAAGAAAAAAAGTTTTGTAACTATGTATATTAATAGATAACTAAACTGATTGTACTGATTATTTTGCAATATATACAAATATAGAATCATAATATTGTGCACCTGAAACTAATATGTTATATGCTATTTTTTTCTCAATAAAAAATTAATTGGGTGTATTTTTGGAACTGACTGTTTTGGAAATCCATCCTTTTGCTTAATGGATGGTTTTGTAAATCAATGACTTTGTAGAGAGATGTCATATCAAACTCAATTAATTCTGACCAGAAAGTAATAACTGTGTATTAAAACTGATTGATAAAACACACCTACTTTAAAAATCTTATACCAAAAATAGATTTTTACTACCTCAGTTTTAAGATGAAAATTCTATTAAATTATTTATATACAAATGAGAACTGCCTCACAATTTATATACTATGATATTCTAAAATAATTTTGGTTTATGTATGTCCCTTTTGTAGTTAGGGAATTATTTATTTTTTAAGTTCAAAAAATATGTTCTAGTGTTTGGATTCATATTTTGAGAAATATTATTTTTAAAACCCAAGAAATAAAATATAGAACACATCCTGATGACAGGTTACTAAAAGCAGCCACATTGAGATAAAGTGATGGACACCGAATTAATACTCTTTATGATAAGTTAATCACTACAAGACGTAAACTGACATGCTCCTTTTCATGACTTCATTTGTTATCATGAGATGTAATATGTGGCTAAATTATAAGCTATTCGTGAAGTGGGAGAATGATAAAAGCAGAGCATTTCTTTGGTAAATAAATTTTGCATGCATAAATTAAACTCTTATTTCAGCTTACGAGAATAATTAAATGACTCAAATAAAAAAGAATAACTTTATTAAATATTACATATTATGATCAAACTTTCTTATGTGATTAACATTTTTAGTGAAAGAAAGATGTCTCTACTGCTTAAAACCAGTTGGTCCGGCAGCTGCCAGTAGGCATCAAATAGTCCATGCAATCTCTCTAGTATATCAAGTTTCCGTGTAAGCATGGGTCTGTTTCTAGGCTCTTCATCCTATGCTACTGATCTATTTTTCTGTCCTTATACCAATAGTTAATGATTACATTAATTACTATAGCTTTGTGAATCTTGAATTCAGATAAGCAATTTCCACTCCACTTCTCCAGAAGTGTCTTACGTATTCCTGAAAAAGTTTCAATATTAGCCCTAGCTGGTTTGGCTCAATGGGTAGAGCATTGGCCTGCAGACTAAAGGGTCGCAGGTTCGATTTTGGTCAAGGGCATGCACCTTGGTCCCAGGCTCCATCCCTGACCGGGTGGCTACACAACCAAAGGATGTGTATCTCTCACATCCATGTTTCTCTCTCTTTATCTCTCTCCCTCCTTTCCACTCTCTCTCTTAAAAAAAAAAAAATCGATGGCCAAATATCCTCTGGTGAGGATTAACAAAAAACAACAGCAACAACAAAAAGATTGGAGTTAGTCCTGGCCGGTGTTGCTCAGTGGGTTGAGCATGGTTCTCCATGCACCAAAAGGCTGCCTGTTCGTTTCCTGGTCAGGGCACATGCCCAGGTTTTGGGTTTGATCCCTGGTCAGGGTGTGTGCTAGAGGCAACGCATGTATGTTTCTCTTTGATATCGATGTGTTTTTTCTCTCTCCCTTCCTCTCTCTCTAAAATCAATAAAAAATATTTTTTAAAAAAAGTTTGAATTTTAGATTTAGCTTGTCAAATAAAAATTCTTTTGGGACTGTATTTAGAATTTATAGATTAATTTGAGAGAAATGAAAATGTTTACAATGTTTAGTCTTCCCACCATGAACTTGGTATAACCTTCCCATTTATTTAGCTTTTTTTTTTCCTGTTATACTTTAGTTTCCAGTATTCCTGAATTACCTTGGGATTTTTCCTCAACAATTTTAATACTTTCTTATTCATTGGTGATTTTGACTGGCTTCCACTGCTTACCTGGCAACTTTTTACTTTGCCTTGAAGTCTCAGTTCAAATGCTACCTCCTGGGTGAAGTTTCCCCCATTGCTCCTGCCACTCAGAGTATTTATTATAATTGTCATCTAATTGCAAAAGGAAATAGTTACTGATTGCCTACGACACGCCAGAGCGTTGTGTGAAGCACTCGCTGAGCATTAACCCATGTAATTTACAAAGCAGCCTTTTGAAACCAGAGTTGGTGTTAGTCTCTCCATTTATGAAAAAAATAAGCCCAAGAGGGCAGCCTGTCTAAGGCACAAAGCCCGGGGGAGGCAGGGCCAGGAGAGGATGCGGGCAGGCTGGCTCCGGAGCCCATGCTCCCACCCTGTGATATTCTCTTTCAAGCAGTTGTGTTGTCCTGAAGTGGTTCACATGCCTTCATTCACACATCCCAGAGAAAATGTTAGGAGTGCACACACTGAACCAGGCACTGTGAAACGTGCTGGTTGAACATATGGTGTTGAATAAAACAGACATTAAATAAAAATCACACCAGTAAGTATATAGGCACCAATAGTGTTAAGTGCCCTGAGAGGGGGGGTGGGGGAGGGAAATCCAGATAGAGGATAGAATTACAAAGGGGGAGGGCATCAGCAGGCAGATACAGGAAGGGTCTGGGGGAATATGTGTTCTTAGGGGAGGTACAGGAAGAGAGTCATGCATTGATGTAGGTAGGATATGCTGAGTTTTAGGGCTCCTGAGGACCCAGGCTCAAAAGGTTGGAAATAGGGAGATGTGGGACTCCCATATCATGGCTGGGTTGAAGACAGAGGGCGGTAATTACTAAGGAGCACTCTGTGGTTAAACCTCAAGCAGGGGCAAGACTCCCCAAAAGAAAGCTGCAGAATGAGAAGACAGGCAGGCAGAGGAGGAGAAGGAAGGAAAGAAGAAAGGGATGGAGGTGGCAGTGCCTGCATCCTTGTATCTCCAGCACCCCAAATGGGGCTGAGCACAGAATAGGTGCTCAGGACTTGGCAGGTGGCCAAATGAATGAAAGGCCCTTTCAGGGTGGCCTTGGTTAAGTCCCTTCCTTGCCGCACTCGTTTCCCTATGTAAAATGGCAGTAGCAGCTTGATCAGGAGGGCAGCGGTGGCTCTTGGGGCTCAGTCCCGTCCCCTCCCCCCCCAGCCCCCAGGGGAGCACCCATCATTCTGATGCCCATCAAAGTCAATGCGCAGGTCCACGGGTTGCGCGGGTGTCCCTGGAGGGCTGAAGGCGCTCAGACTGCAGAGGACAGAAGCCTCGCCTCCTCAGCGCCCAAGAGAGCCGGACGCGCTGCTGGGAGAGGGTGCGCGAGGGGAAGGGGAGGCGGGGGAAGAGGTCTGTTGCCCAAAGCAGCACGGACGCCTCAGGAAGCCAGGAGTGAGATGCGGGTAGGAGAGGCCCGCGGGTCGGACTGCCTGGGGCCGCCGGCGCGGGGCAGGGCCATCGCCTCTGCTAGAGACCCCTCGAGATGTGGGTGCGAGGGGCGGAAGTAATGAGGAAGAAAGGGGCCAGGGACTGGGAAGACAGATCTCAGAGACCCCAAGGCACGTGGAGACTTTCACCTGGGACCCTGCGGACGCAGAAGAGGGGCCACACGCCAAAGCCATCGGAATAAATGACCGATCCCTTCGCGCTTGGCAGCCCCGGGGCGCGCCTCTGGGCATCCAGGGCAGCGCAGGAGAGGCTTGGAAAGTCCTGGGGGGCGGGCCCGACGGGCGCGGGAGTTCGCCGGCGCCTCCAGCCGCCGCGGGGTGGCGGAGTTGGGGGCAGGCGGGCCCCACCGACCCCGCGAGATGGCCCCGCCCCGGAGCCTGGCAGAGGCCTCACCGTGGGGGGCGGAGTTGCCGGCGCTCCACCAGCCCCTGAGACTGTGGCCCCTTCTTAAGCCCGCGGAGCCTCTGGCCGCCTAACCTGCCTCTCCCGCTTCTCCCCCCAGCACGATGGCTTCGGCACTGAGCTATGTCTCCAAGTTCAAGTCCTTCCTGATCTTGTTCTTCACCCCGATACTGCTGCTGCCACTCATCATTCTGGTGCCCACCAAGGTCAGTTGCATCTCCTGCAGCCCCGGGGACTGCAGGCTACCGGTCCCAGTGACAGGCTCTGAACGCGGGGGCACCCAGTGGGAGCGCAGGGATTCCCAGGCGGGCACAGCTCCCCTGCGAGCTCAGGGCGTCAGGTGGGAGGTGTCCTGTAGAGAATTTCAAGGGGCACCCCAACCTTGGGGTTTACAGATCCCAGGACACAAGAACCGTCCCAACAAGCATGGAACCTAGCCGTCAGCACAGATCTCGCCACACAGGACATCCACAGGCTCAGCCTGGCCTGAATCTCCCCAGAGATTCGAATCCACCCCTCTCCTTGCTCAGAGCCTATGGTGCCTATAGAGCCTGGCGCTTCTTTCCCTCCTTCTCTCTCCTTCTCTCCTTAGTGAATGGGGACTTCCAAGACCAGTCAGGCACCTAAGTGGACCCCAAGTGCTGTCCTTGTCACCCTCTGGCCCTATTTTGAGCCTCAGTTTCCCTATCTATGGCCCACTTTTCTTTACAACTCGGATCCCCTGGACGCCATGGCTGAGTCAAATCCTCCTGGGGCGGAAAGGCAGGTCGGGGTGGGTCTGCTTTGCGTGCTGCCTGCTGTGGCCGTGGCTGTGGCTGTGGCTGTGGCTGTGGCCGTGGCTGTGGCAGGAAGCAGCCAGGTTCCCAGAGCTCACGCCTTGGGTGGCAGGACTCGGGGTGGCAGGGAAGGCTTGTCCCATGTCCTGGCCTCCTAGCACTCCTGGGAGGGAGGCAGAGAATGAATGGTCTTGGCCACAGGGTGAGGGCGGTGCTGGGAGCCCTGGCCCCGGCTGCGCTGGGCTGTGTGGAGCCTGTTTGGCAGAGACCCCAGGCCTTTGAAGGCTTTTGTGGCTGCTGGCTGCTCCTTCCTCACTCCCTCTTCCAGCCCTTTCACTCTCAGCCCAGACAGGAAACCCCGGGGTCCCCTGTCCCTCCAGGCAGGTTTGGGAAACAGAGGGGTTCTTTCGGGGATACGCTGGGGCAGTCCCGGAGGACTGGGGTATCAGGAGGCCAAATCTGCAGAGAAGCCAACTTCATTCACTCTTCCTTGTGATTTTAGTGAAGCCTCTGAGTTTTCCGGGCCTTGGTATTCTTGTCTGTACAATGGGCAGGGTGGTTTGGTTCTGACAGGTGTGGCTTTGGGTCCCAAAGGGTCTATGCTGGTTCCTAGGATGGGGGAGGGGAGGCCGAGAGGAGCCCTCCAGTGGGCTGAGCACAGCCCTGGATGAGCCAGGGATGGCCCAACAAACTGGGGTGGCTCTTCTGTTGTCATACCAACTGTGAGCTGCCATATTTCCCCTGTAGGAAGAGATTTGGGGCTGTTACTATCCGTGGGAGGGAGCTGGGGAGGAGAGCTGTGATTTTAGTTCTGCTGGTGCGAGTGATGTTCCCTGGAATGATTATACAACTTGGCTGACCTTCCTGCTCTGGGACAGTGTGACTGAGACCCCACCCCCCTCCACACCCTGAGCTGGGACCCTCAGCTCGGAGTGTCTCTGAGTGTCATTAACCTGCCTTGGGAGTGAGGCTCAGTGAGGGAACAGGGGCATCTGGGAAAGTCCTTCCAAAGGCCCCCTTCTCCTGGGACAGGCGTTCCCTCCCGCTGGGACAGGTGACAGGGGCCTGGACCTGTCCTGGTGTCTCTCCCTTTGTGCCTCTGTTTTAGTCACCACCAAAGAGCTCCCTGCCCCCGCCCCCACGGCCACACCATTGTGCAAGGAAACCCAGAGGCACTGGCATGGGCCAGCGGGGCTGGGCAGCCAGCGAGAACTTGGCAGCCTGTGGGGCACTGTCTGAGGGGGGCGGTGAATCAGAAGGCACGTGCCCCGGCCTCCCCCACAGGCTCCCCTCTTTTCTTCCTCTCCTCCAACCAACTTCCTGTCTGGCTTCATCTTGGCCCCACTTTTTCTGCCCTTTCTTGCACCCCTTTTTAAAAATATCTTTTTAATAAAATCAATGATATGTCTATTGTAAACATATCATTGATTTTATTAAAATTGTAAAAAAATATTTTCCAAGTCTGTAACGTATAATGTAAAAATGAAAATACCTTTAAATCCCATAACTTATTAACATTCTGATGGCCATCTTTTCAGAAATCAATCCATCTTTTTCTCCCTCGCTTTCTCACTCACTCTCTTTCTACACCCACCCCCCCCCCCCACACCCCCACACACAAACACACAGAGGAAGTTCTCTTACCTACATTCATTTTTAAGTTCTCTTCCTACATTCATTTTCATTAGGCACATGTCATGGGCAGTCTGTTAATAATTACACACGGGTTCATTCAGTTGTCCATTTAACTTGTATTTGTTGATCCCTACGATGTGCTAGGCACTGTGCTGGCTGCTGACTTTTAAGTCCCACTCCCCTTTGTCTGGGCTCCTAGTGCCTGGCCAGCCACATTCCCGGCAGGAAGCGCTCTGAGCTTATTTACTCCCAGGGAGCAGGCTCCTCTCTCGGGCAGAGTCCACCTCACTCTGCGTGGTGACCGTGGTGACCGCCCCTCCTCAGACCAGTCTAACGTAGCCCTCCCGTGGGAGCATGCTAGACCAGGAGGGTCAAGTCCGCCTCCGTGACGGGGCATCTCTGGGGCCTCGATAGTGGATGGCGGCGAGGGGCCAGTTAAGCGTGTCTTTTCCGTTGGGGCCTCCAGGAACTGTGCTGTGAATATTGGTTACAGGTGCCACTGGTTGTATCAAAGTTTAAATAATAAAAATTCACCCAGCGCTTTCTGTGTGCCATATGTTACAAAGGGTACTCCTACCTCCTCAGGTTACAGGTGAGGACACGAAACAAGCAGGGACAGGCCAGGTTGGGAGTGAGACGAGTATTTTCTCAATGATCCATCAGGCACCTAAGTGGATCCTGCTTAGCATCCTGTTGAGTGACGGCTGACCAGCCAGTGGCAGACAGTGGGCACTGGTCGGTCTGCCTGGTGTGGAGCCTGGGCTCCTGCCCACACCTCGGTCCTGCCTGGAGCCCGTGGAGCCGTCAGCATTGGCGCCTGCAGCCTCCCAAGCCGGGGCATCAGCAAAGCCTGAGACGTTCGTGTTGTCACAGCTGGAGAGAGAGTTACGCCCACTAGTGGTGTGGGGGCCAGGGACGCTGCTGAACGTCTTACAGTGCACGGGGCACCCCACCCCTCGGCAAAGAGTCTTCCAGCCCAAAATGTCCACAGTGGAAAGGCTGAGAAACCCCGCACCAGGCAGGGCGAGGGGTCCTGAGGTTCTCGTGGGGTGCCGAAGGAAGATACATTTTTTATGACAGCTAACATAGTCCTGACAAAGAATTTCTGTCTTCACCCAACATCCTGTCCACGTAACACGTGCCTCTGGGGTGATGCCTAAGCAGTGAGAGTGTACAGGTGCGTCTCTCCAGCAGCGTTGCCATAGCTCAAACTGTGCTAGTCCATTTCTGAATGGGCATTTGCTGAACATCTCCTCAGTGTCAGGCCTGAGGACAGAGTGAATCCACAAACCCTGGTTCTGGTCTCAGGTGCTTCCTGTTCTCTGGTGGTCCTGTTCTCTGGTGGTGGTGGTGGTGGTGGTGATGATGGTGAGACAGTTAAGGAAATAACAATGGCAACCGCATGTGCCAATTGCTTGGGCTGCGGGAGCAGACACAGAGGCAGGGCACAGACCCAGGCTGTGGGGGAGGCGGGGAAGGCGCCTAAGGAGAAACACAGACTGCCACCAGGCTGGGGTGTGTAAGCGGAGGCTCAGTCACCGCAGTGCCCTGGGGTAGCTGGAACTCCGGGTGTGAGTGGGCAAGGAGATGGGGCTGGCAGGAGGCGGGGTGCAGGGCCTGCTCCATCACAGAGGGTCTCCTAAGCGATGCTGAGGCATTGGGGGTTTGTCCTGGAGGCAACAGGAGGCTTTGAAGCAGGGGGTGATATGATCAGATTTGCAAAAGAGAAAGAGGGAGCCTCTGTGCCTAGTGATACAATAGGAAGGTCAAATTGAAGATCATCTCCACCATCCAGGCTGGAGGAAGTGTGTCCTGAACAAAGGCAGTGCCCTGGGGTGAGGGCAGGAGGAGGAAGAGGCCAGAGAATAAAGGGCTACAAGCTATAGGTCTTGGGGTTGGTGTAGTAGGCTGGGCTGGAATGAGGGAGAGGGCAGAGCCTGGTAGTTAATAATGATTCTGATAAAAGTGCTGATGGAACATGAAACCACCTAGGGAGGTGGGTATTGTTGCCCACGTTTGAACAGGTGGGGAGACGGAGGGCGGCGGCAGCGTGCCCAGGCCTCAGGGCTGTCTCTTCAGTTTGCCAGGTGTGCCTACGTCATCATCGTCATGGCCACTTACTGGTGCACAGAAGTCATCCCTCTGGCTGTCACCGCCCTCTTGCCTGCCTTGCTTTTCCCACTCCTCAAGGTTCTGGACTCCAAGCAGGTGAGCGACCCAGGGGATCCTGGTGGCTTCCTGCTTCTCCCATGGGCTCCTCTCAGAGCCCCTCTCTGAGCAGCCTAGGTCCCGGGGCACCAGATAAGCTCCCTGTGGATTCTTTTTGGCACGGAGACATGCCACTGGACCCTGCATCCCACTCCAGGCTGACCCTCACGTCAGCATCTGCTCTGCTCGCCTGTCTCTGGGGACTTGGGTGGGCCCCTGAGTTAATCTCCAGTAGAGACCCCAAACAATGTGTGGCCAGGAGGCAGCCCTGACGGGGCCCCCATGCCACCACCTTCCAGGTGTGTGTCCAGTACATGAAGGACACTAACATGCTGTTCCTGGGAGGCCTCATCGTGGCCGTGGCCGTGGAGCGCTGGAACCTGCACAAGAGAATCGCCCTGCGCACACTCCTCTGGGTGGGGACCAAGCCTGCACAGTAATTACGCCTTCTCTTCTTGCCACGGGGCTCCCTGCGGGCCCCAGGGCTGGGGAGGAGCTGTGGCACAGCCCAGTCACCCACTGGCAAGGGCTGCCCATGGGCTTACCTGGGCTTGGCAGGCAGGGGGACCCCTGGGTGGGGTATGTGACAATCTTAGCTGAGGACACCAGATGCATGGGCAATGGTGGGGCCTGTGGTGAGTGGCAGTAGGTAAGGGTTCTCTGAATCCAGAGGAGACTGGTCAGCAAGGGCCCCTGCATGTAAAGAGGACTTCCTGAGGGAGGGGCTGCAGGGCTCCACAGGGAACGAGGTGGGTGGAGGCTGGATCCAGCCATGCCTGATAGGGCATTTGTGGGGCAAGCAGGCCAGAGGTGGCTCAACTACCCCACTCAGGAGGAGCAGAAAGGTCATCCTTCCAAAGCTAGCACCCACAAAGCTAGCCTCTGTAGAGAAGCTTCTGACCTCATCTTCCCCATGTCACTTAGAACCTCAGCTTCTCCCCTCTCTCTAAGATCTCCCCTCCAACCACAGGCAGCTTCCAACCAACCCATGGAGTTGACATCAGATTCCCCTGGTACTGAGCACCTGCAGCGCCCAGGCATGACTCTGGGAGCTCATTTATCTCCTCAGTTAACTCTCACCACAACTCTGAGAGCTGGGTATTATCCCTCCACCAGGTTCTATAGATGCGGCATTTGAGACAGAGAGGGGTTAAATGCTGTGAAATGAGGCCTTGACCCCTGAGTTAATCTCCAGTAGAGACCCCAGGAGGTACCTTCTTTTGAGGCAATGTCCTCCCTAAATGATGGCGTGCCCAGCCCAGCCCTGGGAAGGCAGCGGTTGGTTACTGCACAGCAAATCCCTCCTGAGATGTCCATGTGCCAGGGACTGTGCCGGGCCCCGCGCACAGAGAGCCCGGTGCACCCCCAGGAGTTGATGTCTGGTTCCCTTGGCACCTCAGGCTCCGCTGAGCAGAAAGCTTTGGGACTCTCTGGTGTCTGTTACCCTACGTGGTATCAATCCCCCCAGTGATTGGTCTACAGGGTCAAATCAAAGGCCATTGCATGTTCTAGAAGTGTGAGACCTCGGTGGCCTCAGAATTGCTCTCAGGATCCTTTGAGCGGCCAGCCTTCCTCCACCAGCAGGTGGTCCTCATTCTGAGAGAGCTGAAGGACACTGGTTCCAAACCCAGGAAGTTCACGCAGGCTTCTCTGCTCCTTCCTGTCACCGGGCTTCTCCTCTGAGCGTGGTTTCCAGGTCCATGGCACTTGCCTGCCCCGGGGAGACCTTGATGTTGAGGCCTACGTGGTGCCTTGAAGCATCAGGTCAAAACCTCATTCATGAAAACTCCGCTCCTCCTTCCAGCCCGGACCCAGGCCTGTGTTCTGTGGGTCTGTGAAGTCAGCCTGGATGGACACCGGCGTGGACCTTGCCTTGGTGCAGTGCAGCTCCCAGATCCCTTCTCCAGGCACATTAGTGGCCCCGGGGAGAGGCCTGGCCGCAGAGGGGCATGGAGACTGAGAGTGGTTTTGTTCCATCCATCCAGCCCTCCCTGAGCTCCTTCTGTTCCTGGCCTTGTGCCGGGTGTGTGGAAGCCATGGAGAAGAACCAGCTCTTCTCCTCCCTGCTCACCACCAAGGGGAGAGCAGACATGGGCATGGGTCCTCCAAATCCAGCCGTTGATGAGTGTTGGTGGGGCTGGAGGAGGGTGTGTCCACCCCTGCCTGGTGGGCACCGGGAGGAAGGCTACAGAGGAGGGACTTTGATTAGAAGAACCACGAGGGGTGCTCTAGGCAGATGGCAGAGGTGAGACAGCGGTGGAAGGACAGGGAATAAAGGAAGGGAACATGTTTTCTGAATACTGTTTGATCTGGTCCATTGCAGAGTGGAGGGAGTACAGGTGTGTGTGCAGAGAGAGTCGGTGGGGCGGTCAGCCATGAGAGAGGTCCCACTTTCCCAGGCTCACCCTGTTATGAGAGGAGAAGCAGGGTCTGGGGTGGGTGGGAATCTTCTAGATAGAAGTGGGGTGTTGGGGCTGCTTGCCCATAGGGCTGCTCCAGCACACCCTTAGGACACACTAGGGCCAACCTCCACCCTGGGTTGACACCCTCTGGATGCCTGTGCTGCCCCTGCTGGACAGGAGCTCCTCAGAACCATGACTGGGTCTGAGAAAGGCGTCTTGGTCTTCCCTCCCCACCTGCCCCATAGCCAGCAGGGTAGACATCAGTAATGTCTGTGGGAGAGAGGTAGGAGGGAGAACAGAAGGAAAGAAGGGAGGGAGGGAGAAAGGGCGGGAAAGAGGGAGGGACTAAAAGTATAATCCTCTCCTGGACTACCCAGTCTTGAACTGGCATCGGCACCTTGGCCTTGACCCCTGGCATCCCTGCAGGGGACCTAACCCCTGTTGCTCCCTGAGGGCTTGGGTCAGTGGGGATGGGGATTCTCTGCTTCCCTTCCTGCTCCTCCTCTGCAGGCTGATGCTGGGCTTCATGGGCGCCACCGCCTTCCTCTCCATGTGGATCAGCAACACAGCCACCACAGCCATGATGGTGCCCATCGTGGAGGCCGTGCTGCAGCAGATGCAGGCCACGAGCACAGCCAGCGAGGCCGGCCTGGGCGCCCTGGAGCTGGTGGACAAGGGCAAGACCGGTGAGGTGCCAGGTGAGCCCCTGCCAGGTGCTGCTGGGTCCACAGCTTTAGCCACCTCCCTGACTCCTGGAGCCCACCTTTAAACAGGCATAAAGAGAAATACTTAGAAACTGCTGTTTTTGTAACCTTTGGAAATGTAATTATTGCAGGAAAGTTAAATTCGTTAGTATTGCTTATAGCAAGTTTCAACCCTTGGTTCCCGCCAATCACAGAAATCAATAGGTGTTCATTTGATTATGCATTTGAGCATCTTTTGAGCACTCACTGGGGGCCCTCACCCATTTTTCTTCCTACTCATCCTCGGGGAGGCCTCCCCTGAACAGGTCACACTTCCCATCTGCTCTCTGCTCCCACAGGCATCGGGGTGGTTGTCCCATGCTGCTTCCCCACCAGGCACTCAGCTCAGGGAACTCAGAGGGTGCCTGTTTTATTATCTGCCTTGTTTGTACCCCGTCCCCAGGGCCCAGCACAGGGGAACTCAGGGCCCATGCTGATGGCCCGATTGCCAGATCCTGGGGCAGGTCCTGGGGCTGCTGAGATGAAGTGGACACACCCATATTTCAGACTCAAGGAGCCGGGTGGGGTGGGGTAATGAGGCCCCTCACACAGTTCCTCTGAATTGGGGGAAGCCATGGGATACCATAAGCCAGACACCAAAGGAGCTCAGACAGGGGAGGCTCACTAGGAGGTTCGGACATCTCAGATAGATTTGGACACCCCCTGGATTGAGGGAACAGGTGGAGCAACAGCTAGGAAGCAGGGAAGAAAGGGGTGTGTCTGAGGCAGCTGCATTTGCCCTGGGCATGGAGGAGCCTGGGGAAGCTGTGGGAAGTGACAGGGAAGACAGACAGGGCCAGACTACACAGTTGGGCTGTGGGCTGAGAGGACCCGAGGAGGGAGCCTGCAGAGCCAGCACGTCCCACCTCAGGTCAGCAGCAGAGCTAGGAGCTGGAGCTGAGCCGCGGCCCCCTGGACTGGCTCTGCTCACGGAGGTGTGTCACTACAGGGACCCAAGTGATTTTTGAAGGCCCTGCTATGGGGCCACAGGAGAATTGTAACAGGAAGAGCATGTGCAAGGCCATGACACTGTGCGTGTGCTACGCGGCCAGCATCGGAGGCACTGCCACCCTGACCGGGACAGGACCCAACGTGGTGCTCTTGGGCCAGATGCACGAGTGAGTCACTGGCCATACCTTCTGGGGACAATGACTTGGGCCCTGGGTTGGATGGACTCAGCCTCCTCTCCCATCTCCTGAGCTGGGCCCTGGAGCTGGGGCCTGGCAGGGGCGGGAGGCTGTGCCCCCATCAGCCTCTGCTGCACCTGCTCAGGACTCCTCAGGGTGGGAGCTGATGACAGTCCCCAGGCCTGGCTGCTTTCTGTCCTGGGCGCAGTATTTTCGCTCAGACAGGTCGTGTGATTGAACTCTGAGCTAAAGTCATGGGAAGTGACAATATCGTTTTAGATGCTGGGTCCTTGTTTAAAACTTGCAGAAAATAGACACCCTTATAGAGGCTCTCCTCAAAACTGGCTCACCGACCTTGGTCGTGAATGGTAATGGCCCTATGATATTGGGGATCTGGAGATGCAATAAAGGGCTAGGGGTTGGGCCACTCATTGCCTCACCAGCTCGTTCACTACAGTTCCTCTCACTGTCCTTGAGGTGACCTGTGCCCTTGTGAGGCCCCAGGTGGACCACAGTGGTGGTCTGGAACTTTCCTTGGCCACAAAGGGACACAGGCCTTGAGGACCCAGTTGTGTGCTGGCCTTGTGCTGGGTGGGGCTGGAATCACAGAAGAGGGGGAGACCTGGGCTCTGTCTGTGGGATACTCATGGTCTGCTGAGGGTAGCAGATGCCTGGAGAGTTCTAGGCAGGACATGTAAATGCGTGAAGGAAAGTACTGACGCAGTGAGCGCAGGGAAGGAGAGAAGTATGACATGCCCGTCCTGTGCAGACAAGACAGGTGGGGTGGGAGGGCAGCTAGGGGGTGGGAGGGCAGGCCTGGAGCCTGGCCAAGCAGACTCTTGAGGTGGACACGCAGACTATTCTGATCCTGTGATGTTTTCTGTAATGATAGCCTCTCCCTGGAGTTCCCGCTGAGTGCAGAAAGCTCTGTGTCTACGTTCACACCCTTGGGCTAAAGTGAGCAAGTCTGGAGTGGGAGGTGGAGCCTGGCGTGAAAGAGACCCTCCTCCAGTCCCCAGAACCCTCTCTGGTCCCACCCTGGGAGGCCTGGGAGATTTGTTTTCCTAAGGGGGCCTTCCCTTGTAGGAGCCCACAGGGTGAGGGTTCTGCGGCATCTGTGGACCTCCTGATGCTATTGACCAAATTACGTGTGTACAAAGCTGTGTTTCTCTGGAGGGAAGAGCCATGACTCTCATGAGCTTCTTAACAGGGTCTGGACCCCCATGATGGTCAGTTGGTCACCCCTCCGGCTTGTATTGGGCATGACTCTGTTCTGGGGCCCCAACTGATTAGGATAATACCGGGCGGTGGGCATGGCTGGCTGGACCTTAGGAGGATGGGACTCTGCTCCAGACCACCTCTCAGGGTCCAGCTACTGGTCAGCTGGTACACACCCGGCCTGACCTGCTTACTCTGAGACTCAGCATCTGGTAGAGGTGTGGACCCGTGTTTCTCTCTCCAGGCTGTTTCCTGAGAGCAAAGACACCGTGAACTTCGCCTCCTGGTTTGGATTTGCCTTCCCCAACATGCTGATCATGCTGCTGCTCGCCTGGTTTTGGCTCCAGTGTATTTTTATGGGATTCAAGTAAGTTGAACTGCTTCCGGAATAGTCTAACCTGCCACGCCCTTGCAGAAGAACCAATAGGCGAGCCCACAGAGTTCTTCCTGTCTGGCCCCATTTCAACAGCCCCATCATCTGCTAGTCTGCCCTCTCATTTTGGCCACCTCGGGCTGCTCACCGTGCCTTTGCACATGCTGTTCCCTCTTTCTAGAATGCCATTCCCTATCTTCTCACCTTTCAATCTCCTCAGGCTTCAAGGCCAGTTCAAATGCTGCTTCCTTAGGGACATGTTTCCTGACTTTCCCCAGCCCGTTTCCCCACCCCATGCCTGCTCCTCTGGGCTTCCCTGGGCACCCCATGGCCTTGACCCTTGGTACCTGTTGCCATGTTCCAGCACTGCCCCTGTCCCCTGACCCTTGACCTGAGATCCTTTGGGGCTTGTGGTAAGTCCTCTCTGTCCCCTGCCCCCAGCCCAGCTCCCGGCCAGGGAGAAAGTGTGCCATCAACGTGAGTCAAAGCAATTAAAGGAAATCTTGTCCCCGTGAGCAAATCGATACTCTGGACCAACTCCCACTTGGCTGTATGTGTCCATTGGGTCGGGTCACAGCACACCACCCGCCGATGTCCAGATTCTTACTGAACACCTGCCATGTTCCCAGCAGCGTGCGCGTTCTGGGAAGTTTATCTTCCTCTTCCCAGTACACCCAACCCAAGTTCACCAAGAGTCAACCTTGACAGCAGCCAGTCTTTGGACAGAAACCATGGTGTGTGGCTGACAAATGCCTCAAAAACACTCTTGTGATTTTAAAAGACACATATCTATCTGGGGAGCTAAGGGGACCCTCTCACATTAGTATGGAAAGTGCTTAGCAGTGAGCGTGTGCTCTGTGCCTTAAATCACAGGCAGCTAGAGCCAAAGACAAGGGGCTATCTGGCCACAGGGAGATCTCAGAGCCGAGAGGCAAAAGTGTCCCCAAACCCAGGGAGTTAGCGGGGGAAAATGGGATTTTTGTAAGTCTTCTTCTGAAGGAGGAACTGATTTGGAAACTGCAGTTAAAAGAAATCTCTATATAATCATAAGTAGTCATAGCAACGACATCATAATAGTAGTGGGCATCCTCATATGCCACCCGTGTGCAGGCCTCACGTGAGAGGGAAGCTGCTCCCATGGGCACTTGGGGCACAGCCTGGCTTTGAGGGAAGCTCTTTGCCCTGCTTTGCACACCTGCTTCAGGACCAGCGGGCCCCGGGAGACCTGCCCCTAACCTGTCGCAGGCTGCAGGTGGTGTCCTGCCTCTCATGGGGCCATGGGAATAATAATGACCAACATCTGTTGAGTGTTTACTAAGTCGCAGACACAACTTTAATGACTCTACATATATTAATTAATCTTCACATCAACCTGTGAGGTAGGTGCTCCTATTATTCCCAATTTACAGGTAAGGCAACTGAGGCACGGAGAGGGGAAAGGGCTGCTCAGGGCTGTGTAGCTTGGAAGCCATGGGACTGAGCTTTGAACACAGGCAGTTTGGCACTAGAGCAGTAGTTCTCAACCTGTGGGTCATGACCCCTTTGGCAGTCGAAAGACCCTTTCACAGGGGTCGCCTAAGACCATCCTGCATATCAGATATTTACATTATGATTCATGGGAGCATCTTCCCATCTGGGCATGTGCTAGCACACATAACAGGTCCTGGGAGGCCTGGTGGGCATGTGAGAGACATGGAGTGGGGAAGGGGTGCACTCAAGCACCCTCCACCCCAGACGATGGGCAGCACCATAGGCCTTCCCACCACGCTCTGCTGCCCAACATTCAGGCTTCCATTTGACCAGACCCTGAGCCAACCAACCTGCACCGCTGTTTTCTTTCTGTGTCTCCTCTAGTTTTTTTGTTTAATTCTTTATTGTTGAAAGTTTTACATATGTCTCCTCTTTCCCCCATTGACCTCTCCCTGACCGTTTCCGCCCCCCAGCACATGCTCCCACCCCGCTGTTGTCTGTATCCATTGGTCATGCTCATATGCATAGTTACAAGTCCTATGGTTCATCTCTTACCCCATCCCAACCCACCCTCCCGTGCCTTCCCTCTGAGATTTGATGGTCTGTTCCATGCTTCTATTTCTCTCTATCCTCTAGTTTTAAAAAGGCTTGGGGCTGCGGTCTGGAGAAAAAGAGTAGCGAGAAAGCTGCCTACGAGGTGTTGCAGGAGGAGTACAGGAAGCTGGGACCCTTCTCCTTCGCCGAAGGCAACGTCCTGCTCTGTTTCCTCCTGCTGGTCACCCTGTGGTTCTCCCGGGACCCAGGCTTCATGCCTGGCTGGATGTCGGTCGCCTGGATGGAGGGCGAGACAAAGTAAGTCACTGGTTCTGCAGCGCCTGCCGTGTCCTCCTTTGCTCTGTAGTTGAGTTCTGTTGGTTTCCCGACTCAGTCGTTCCTCACGAATCTTCAGGACAAGCCCACAGATATGTCCTTGTGGCCCCTCCTTCCCCAACAGGTTGAGCAGAAAGTCCTTGGCCAGGGTGGTGGTCAAGAGAGACTTGTTGGGCTGGAGTGAGGCTCCCAGAGCTCTGGGTTCCAAATCTCTCCTCCATCATCTCCCCATCCCTGCCCCCAGCCCCCACCATCTTTCTTTAGATCTGGGCAAGTATCTAAAGACACAGATCCTGGGGTCCAGATGCTTCTTTAGGTAGAGACTTGGCAAAAAGGGGGTATATGTAGTTTCTCTCCAGGCTAAGATGTTACATGGAAGAAAGGCTGAGCAACGTGCATATTCCTGGAAGTGGGTTGGGAGACAGCTGCCTGTTACTGTTGATTCCATTTTTTATTTTTATTTGGTTAATCCTCAACCGAGGATATTTTTCCCATTAATTTTTAGAGAGAGTGGAAGGGAAGGAGCGGGGAGAGAGAAAGGGAGAGAGAGTGAGAGGAGAGAGAGAAATTTCAATGTGAGAGAGACACATCAATTGGTGGGCTCTGCATGCGCTCCAACCAGGTGGGGATGGAAAGTACGTGCCCTTGACTGGGAATTGAACCTGTGACCCTTTGCTGGGTGGACCAATGCTCTAACTACTGTGCAACAGGGGTCAGGGCTACTGATTCCTTTTGGAAGGTCTGCTGGTGATCACCTGGTGAACCCAGATTTCTAGAGAATGTGGCCTAGAAGAGGTCACGACATTCACCCATGGAACAACACAGGATGTGAGAGGGAAGGAAGCTGCCCAGAGTCGCCCAATACTGGTGGCAGAGCAGGCCAAGGATGGGGGGGGCGGGGGGTGGGTCTTGGTTTCTAGCCAGGATTCAGTCTACCGCACTACTCCTGACCTTGGCCTTTGGGGTTCCAGTTTTCATGCCCAGCTGAGCCTGCCTCTTCATGCAGGAGCACGTAGACGAGGCACAGGTTTGTGGCATAGCTTCCTGCAGCTGAGTTGGCTCATCCATGCCCTCTCCCCACCTAGGTATGTCACCGACGCCACCGTGGCCATCTTCGTGGCCATATTACTATTCATTGTGCCTTCGCAGAAGCCCAAGTTCAACTTCTGCAGCCAGACTGAGGAAGGTAATGCTCCTGTCTTGGCCTTGCATTCATCAGGGTTGGGGGCCTGGTAGCAGAATCTCTCCATGCGAGTCCCTGGGCTTAGGGGGGAGAAAAGCCCACTCCATCAAAGAGGACTGGCAAGATGGCACAGTCTGGGCAGAGGGCATTTTCAGCCCTCCCTGGTTATTGTTTAGTGCAACATCTCTTTTGCTTTTTAAACATTTGAAATCGTATTAATATTACATCAGGAGCAGAAAAATGTTTTGAATTTCCCACAACACCATCAGTATTATTTTGGTTTCTCGCTTCCTCCCAGTCTGTACTAATAAGCACGTATATTAGATGGCTATAATCAAAACACACCATTTGAATCCTCTTGCTTTGTTGTTTCTGTTTTCATGTTTTTGACCGGGTTACTATAGAGACATTTCTTGCTCTTGCCCCAGTCTTCAAACTTATCTTCCCTAATAACGGCATTGTATTGAGTCAGGGGGCTGTAACCATTTTCCTATTATGGGACATTCTGGCTCTTTTGAAATTTCATTATTATAAATTAAGGTGTTTCTTCTTCAGGATAAATTTGTAGGATGTCAAATTGCTTTCCAAAAAGATTGCACCAATTTATAATGCTGCCAGGAGTGTGTGATAGTTCTGCCATATTTTCACCAGCAATGGGTGCAGTAATTATTGTAAATTTTAGCTAATTTTTAGATATGAGATGGTACTCATTGTCCATACAGGCTTTTATTCCCCTGATCAGATGTCTTGGGCTTCATAAGGCTGCTCTGGGTTGTGTATGTGTGTTTTTCTTGTCTCTTCTCAGAAAGAAAGACTCCGTTTTATCCGCCTGCACTGCTGGATTGGAAGGTGACCCAGGAGAAAGTTCCCTGGGGCATTGTGCTGCTGCTGGGGGGCGGATTCGCTCTGGCTAAAGGATGCGAGGTAACTTCCCCAGCTGTGGGCTGCCCAGGGCCTCCTTCTTTCACCAAGAGGGTGGCCAACGAACTGCTCCACCCCTGCACTCCTGTACCCCTGCACCCTGGGCTGGTTCTGTGTCAGTTCCCTCCACTAACTGCCCATTTCTCAAGAACAGGGACTCTGTCTTGTCATGTAGGAACCCTGGGCCACGATTAGTGCCTAGACTAGAGAAATACTCTTTGAGTGATTGTGGAAATAGCGAATTTAGGCAACCCCGGGTTAGCCAAGAGAGGCAGAGGATGCTGTGAGGTCTCCTTTGGGATTTGGCAATAGGATCTTTACTCTGATTTCTTCTAGGGAAATCCTCCTTTCAAGTCCTTGTGGAAATCTCCACCATTACCTTTGGTTCTTCTACTCCCTGAACTCTTTGTTGATATGGCTGCCAGTTTAAATTTTTCTCTAGCTAAGCGTATAGCAGTGTAGAAGGAGAGGAACAGCCTTTGGGAAAAACCACCTAAAAAATGTAACCTTCTTACCTCTCCCCCTTCCATAATAGGGAAAAAGTGAGCCAGAGAGAGAGATGAGCGAGCTATCCTCCTTGCATCCATGCACCTGTCCATCTGTCTATCCACCCAGGAATAGAATGTGATAGATAGACTGGGTCTATCCTGTTATTCTGTTTCCTTAGCATCTGGTGCATGGCAGGCGCATCAATATTTTTGGATGAACAAATCCATCCATTTAGTCACTTCTCTATCCAGTCATCCATCCATCTAGCATTCATTCCTTTCACCAAACATTTCTATTATGCCCCTCTTAGTCCAGGCATGGGACTTACAGAGGAGATTGAAATAGGGTGCTTGTTCACAGGACCATCACAGGCTAGAGAGGGGACATATATGGGAGAGCATTTAGGGAAGAAGTGACACGTTGGTAAAGGAATAAGTGTGTGGTACCTAGCTGAGGATCAGAAGATGAGGCTACTGAGGCTCCCAGAAGCCACTCCATGAGGGTCTTGAATTCAAGATAGGGAGTGTGGACTTAATTATGCAGGCACTGAATTCAGGGGGCAGCCACTGAAGGGTTGAGGCCAGAGGGTGACTGAGTCAGAACTGTACTGGGGAAAATCACTTTAATGTCTAGAGTGGAAGCCTGGGCAGGGCTGGTTTGAGTGAGACCCAGTAGGTGCTCTATAGCTTTCATTAAATTCAGTCTCAATACTGGACTCCATGGACCATTGTCTCCTTGAAACTCCCTCCTCCTTTGGTCCCCAAGATAACCATTCCCTCCTGGTTTCCTTCTAACTCTGACTATTCCTGCTCAGGCTTCTTTACTGACTTTTCCTGTCCTCCCTTTAATATGAATGTTCCTCCAGTCTCTGTCCTTGGTACCTTCTCTGTTCATTTTTCATTCTCTCCCCTGGACAATCTCTTCTCAGCCCAAAGCACCAAATCCAGATCCCAATTTCTGTCTCAGATTTCTCTCCTGAACTTTAAAGACTGTGGGAGACTGAGAGGAGACAATGGACATGAGATGTTTTGGGTGACTTGATTGAGTGGAAGAAATGAGGGGGATAGAGATCCCCAGGATGACTCCTGGTCTTCTAGGACAGCAGGTGGATGGTGAGTCCATGCACCAAGCTGGGGAGCCAGGGGGAGTGGTAGACTCTGGGCTAGAGAGGATGAATGCAGGTTGGGCCTTGTTGAGTCTGACATGTTCATGGACACCTGGGTGGAAATTTCTAGAAGGAGTATGGATGTTGAGATCTGGATAGTAGACCGGCTGGGTTAGAAACACAGATCTTGGAGACAGCAGAATGAGGATGGAGATTGAAATTGTGGGCATGGATGAGCTCACCTGTGGCATTTATGCAGAGAGAATACGTAGGAGGGGAGAGGCTGAGCTCCCGAGAGAAAGATGAGGGTCTCTCCTGGCCCTGCAGGCACTGTAGCCATTAGCCCCTCAGTGACTGCCCTCTGGTGCTTTCCAGGCCTCGGGGCTGTCTGAATGGATGGGGACGCAGATGGAGCCCTTGCACGTTCTGCCCCCAGCAGCCATCTCCTTGGTCTTGTCCTTGCTCATTGCTGTATTCACTGAGTGCACAAGCAACGTGGCCACCACCACCCTGTTCCTGCCCATCTTTGCCTCCATGGTAAGTAACCCTGCTGGGGGAGGAGGAGGCTCAGCCATCATTTCATTAGAAGCTATCAACCCAGGACTATGTCCTAAGTTCTTAGCGAGGCTGTGAAATCAGGGGCCAGAGCCCTACCAGGGTTTTGAGCCTCTGATAGGACTTGTGTGCCTTTGATGACCGTGGGCCTACCATCAATGTTTTGCTGTTTTTTTTGTATCCCCCATGCTGGCCAAAGCACTAAGCATAAGCCAGGTTCTTATAATGTATTTATAAATGTAACTGCTTATTTTTCAAAATGGGTTGACTGGACGTGGGCCAAGGAGGAGTGGACCAATGCCATGAGGGAATGACAGAGGGTCTTTGAGAATGTAGCACAGGTGCTGGGGTCCAATCCCAGCGGGTCCAGGGGTCCCCAAAGGTGTGGACGGAGTCGGCGAAGAAGGAATGACACGAAGACAGCCTTCAGTTGATCAGCAGCCTAGTCAGGACCTCTAGCCAGGATCTCCAGCCAAAGTTCTGGTCGGAGTTCTGGTTAGGAACTGATGAGGATCTGATGTTTATTGTCTTGTTACATCCATATTTATACCAGCCGATTTTAATCCTGTCAATTTCTATTACAAAGGTTAGGGCGTTTCTTATCTCCATTCCAGGGAGTAAAGATTATGTAGCTTTACCCGCCTGGCACTTAATCAAGGGGTTGTATCCCATCCCTAACCTCAGGGAAAAATCCCCACCTGGGGAAACAACCTTTCTCGGAGAGGTGACCTTGGTTAAAACACATGGCGCTAAAGAGAGCAAACATATTAAGAACAATATGCTATATATGCCAGGTCCCTTGAAACATATGCTGTGCAGATGTTTCTTTCCTGCAGCGACTGTGTCAAGCAGCAAGGATGGACCGGCTCCCGGCAAATTCCCCCTTTTTTATTCTTTAAATGATAGCGCATGTAAATCAGCGGCCACCTCTTGGATTGGGTTGTTTAAGACTCGGAAGAAGACTGACAAGCAATGATAGCGAGCATAGCTATAAACACAGTGGATGGAGTGCACAAGGAGCCTTGTTCCTGTTGAAGGTTGCTGGCCCTTTTAGTCAAGGGATTTCAGCTGTCCTCAAGTTGGTGGTTTGGTTGTCCTTGTTGATCGGGCTTCCCGAAGTGTTAGCGAGTTGAAGGGCTGCATCAAAGGGTCCATCACGGCCATGCTTGATGGTGATGTTGGTGTCCAAGGAGGAGTAAGCTGTGTCCTCTGGGTCAGCTGTTATGGAGTATGGAGGGTAGTAGAGAGAAAAAGAAAAGAAAGCAAAAGAACTACAAGGCATGGAAGTGTTTAGAAAAAAGAAGGAGAAGAAAGGGAAGAAGGCAGCATCCTGACACAACCCTTTCCTTCAGCTGCCCCTTTCCCTGTGGTCCAAGGTAGAAATGGGAAACAAGTCCTGTTGCAGTGAGAGGGCAGCTGCTGTCAGCCAGTCTCTGTCTTTACCTGGGTCCTGATCTGAGCTGGGCCAAGTCTCTTTCTGTTATCTGGGTCCCGATCTGAGCTGGGCGTGGGAAGCGGGAAGCAGCCATGGGGGCAGGAGACCTCCCTCAGAAGGGGCGAGTGTTCAAGCCCCTGCATAGTTGGGGGGGTGAGGATCTGTGCCCCACCTTTGTTGACCCCCAAGTTCTCTCCTGCCGGCCCCTCTGCGACTGTGCCTGTCTTAGGTTGTTCCTCCCTGAGGAATCTTACCCGTCTTTGACTAACCAGCCATCCTCCGGGGCCAAGCAGGGTGATGTGAGGTTCAGTTCTGTCTCCTTGGTAGCCTACGCCCCCGTGGCCTCCACGCCCAGCAACTGCCTTGGGATCCCCTCGCCTGCTGGCAGGGCCCTGACATTAATCACATATCTTGGGGAACCCAGGTTTCTTCTCCAGGGAGGGCCCAGCTCACGCCATTGGGCTAGAGACAGATCCATGGTACCAGCCACCATGAGGCTTCAACCTCAGCATGAACAGAGAGCTCAGGCAATAGCTATAGTCAATTGTATTGTAAGAAGAGGGTCCCTCTTGACACGAGGGTAAGAGGGGCCAACACAGGACAAAGGAGAGTCCCAGGACAGGGCTTTCTCAGCCCAGGATGTCAGGCTCTTGGCACAAGACAACTCCACGTATGGGGCATATACCAGACACCCCTAGTCACGGCATAAAAGGGAGGTGCCCTTCCTGGAACAGTAGGGTAGGGAGATTCTAGAAAAGGCTGTGTTCAGGAGAGAAGGAGAAAGGCCAAAGAACCAGCAAACAAGTAGTTAGATTTTAAAAAAAGGAAAAAAGGAAAGAAGATGTGGGGCAAAGCTGGGACATATGGAGGCACATGTGATCCTCCCAATGGACAGATTGTTCCAGCTCAGGGCTGCACATCTGCTACAGACGGACACTGGTCAGGTGTGCTAGGGTGAGGTGGAAACGGAGGGCGGTGAGACATAAGGTCGAACTAGACGGTCTGGAATCCACACAGGTGAGTTTGCGTCCTGTGGAAATATACAAGCATATCCTCTCCCCCGGGTTAAAAGTACATCAGGTCCCTTCCAGGCTCCTGTAAGCAAGTCTCTCCATTTGACGAGGAATTTAGGTTTAGTTAGATCAGGGTTCCAATGCCTGTACATTGGGGAATTTCCCTCAGAATCTACATTTAGTATATTAATTACAAATAGAGCATGTTGTAGAACATGATGAGGAGAGGAATATTTAAACTCATTTTCTTGTAATTTTTTAATTTGTGTTTTTAAAGTTTGGTGAGCCCTTTCTACTATTGCTTGGCCTTGAGGATTGTAGGGTATTCCTGTAGTATGTGCGATGCCAAATGTAGAGCATAAGTTTTTAAAAGCTCTAGAGGTATAGGCAGGCCCATTGTCTGTTTTAAGTGCCCTTGGTATTCCTAGGTAGGAAAAACATTGGAATAAATGTTGCTTACATCTTTAAAGGCTTCTCCTGTACGTGCAGAAGCAAGGATAACATGAGAAAAGGTATCAATACAAACATGCACATAGCAAAGTTTGCCAAAAGATGGGACATGAGTAATATCCATCTGCCATAAGTCACAGGGTCTAAGTCCTCTTGGATTAACTCCAGTAGCAGGGCTAGGAAAATGAGTAGGACAATGGCCGCAGTCACGCACAATACTTCGAGCAGCTTCTCTAGATATGCGATAATATAGACGGAGAGCAGAAGCATTTTGATGGTGAATGGCATGAGACCGCCGGGCTTCTTCTAGAGCTGTACAAACTACTGGGCGAGTTAGTAAATCCGCCTGATAATTTCCTTCGCTTAAGGGTCCTGGTAGGCAGGAATGAGCTCTAATATGTCCAATATAGAAAGCCTTTTCTCGTTTATGAATGTAAGTTTGTAGCTGAGTTAACAAAGAGAAAATGGCTGTTCTTCCTTGTGGGAGAGAGGCGGTCTCAATATGAGGAAATAATTTAACTATATATTGAGAGTCAGTATTTGCCGGGAGCCGGTCCATCCTTGCTGCTTGACACAGTCGCTGCAGGAAAGAAACAGCTGCACAGCATATGTTTCAAGGGACCTGGCATATATAGCATATTGTTCTTAATATGTTTGCTCTCTTTAGCGCCATGTGTTTTAACCAAGGTCACCTCTCCGAGAAAGGTTGTTTCCCCAGGTGGGGATTTTTCCCTGAGGTTAGGGAGGGGATACAACCCCTTGATTAAGTGCCAGGCGGGTAGTTAAGCTACATAATCTTTACTCCCTGGAATGGAGATAAGAAACGCCCTAACCTTTGTAATAGAAATTGACAGGATTAAAATCGGCTGGTATAAATATGGATGTAACAAGACAATAAACATCAGATCCTCATCAGTTCCTAACCAGAACTCCGACCAGAATCTTGGCTGGAGATCCTACACAGAACCTAGAGAGAGAACCTAAAGACAGAACCTAGAGACAGGACTTGGCTGGAGATCCTACACAGAACCTAAAAACAGAACCTAGCGAGAGAACCTGGCTGAAGAACCAAGACAGAACCTAGAGACAGGACTTGGCTGGCGATCCTAGACAGAACCTAGAGACAGGACTTGGCTGGCGATCCTAGACAGAACCTAGAGACAGGACTTGGCTGGAGATCCTAGAAATAGAACCTAGCGAGAGAACATGGCAGGAGAACCTAGACAGAACCTGGATGGAGAACTTGGCTGGCGATCCTAGACAGAACCTAGAGACAGGACTTGGCTGGCGATCCTAGACAGAACCTAGAGACAGGACTTGGCTGGCGATCCTAGACAGAACCTAGAGACAGGACTTGGCTGGAGATCCTAGAAACAGAACCTAGCAAGAAAACATGGCAGGAGAACCTCCACACCTTTGGGACCCCTGGACCTGTTGGGGTTGGACCCCAGCACACAGGTGTGCAGGAGGACTGCAGATCAGAGGGACACCACTGGCTGGGATTTGGGGACACCTCTGGCTGGGAAGGTGGGGCTTGGGGATGGTTTGGGGGAGAGGAAAGTCTGGGAAGGTGGAGAGTCCAAATAAAGGAAGTGAGTGCATGACTGAAAACCCCTAGAAGCCTTGCATTGAGCCCCGGGATCAGGAATCAGTGCACTGTGGTCAAGCATGTTGTTGAGCTGGGACTTAGAAGAAAGCAGAGCCAATAGGAAAATCAGCTGTGATCTTTTCGTGCATTTTCTCCTGTCACTCATGACATGGCAATACTGACCTCAAGGTGGTACAAGAAGAGCCCTGGCCTTGGAGTCAGGAGACCTGAGTTCAGGTCCTGGGATCCTAGAACATATGGTTTATGCTCTTTCCTCCTACACTTGTGCTGAGGGTCAAGAAAGATGATGGCTGTGAAAATCCTCTGTAGATTGCAAACAAGCCTGGGAGAGGCTGAGGTTGCCATTCTGGAGTTGGGAGACAGACTTACAAAACCTGAGCACAGGATTGTTGTTGGTAAACTTCACCTTGGCTGCCAAGGTGTCCATGTGTATAAAAAGCAAACCCAAGTGGCTGCTCCTTTCAATCCAAGTGAAGATGAAAGTGGTAGAAATAGCAAGGTGGCTCATCTCCCCCTCCCCTAGGCAGGCTGCCCAGACCTATGCCAAGGAGCATTCTTTGTTGCTGGGCATGGGGTGGTGAGGCCTCCCTTCTCTAGCAAAGGTTTGACTTTGTCACCTCCAGCCCCAGCATTGAGTCCTGAGGGCCCCAGCCCAGACAAATGAATATCTTAACCCACGGGGCGGCCAGGCCCATCCAAACAAGTCTTCCTAAAGCCAGATGTATGTCACATAAATACTTATTTATAATAAATAAAAGGGATGGATGAAATAAGTTATACACTCATACGATGTACTATTATCAAGCCAATTTTTAAAAATCAGAGTTTTGAAGGGCAGTTTATAAACTGGGAATGTGCATAATTTTTAAAATCTTCACCTGAGAATATGTTTATTGATTTTAGAGAGAGAGGAAGGAAAAGAGAAAGGGAGAAACATTGATCTGCTGCCTCCCACATATGCCCCAATTGGGGATCGAACCTGCAACCTAAGTATGTGCCCTGACTGGGAATTGAACCCACAACCTTTTTTTTGGTGTGTTGGGATGATGCTCCAATCAACTGAGACATCCAGCTGGGGTTAACACTTTTTTAAGTTGAAAATGTAATACATATACATAGCTTACAAATGTCCAATAATACCAAAGAGTATAGGCCCTACCCTCTAGCTTCCTCCTAGAGACAACTTCTGTTATTAATTTCTTGGTATCTTTCTGGATGTATTACACACACATACAGACATTTTTTAAACAAATGGTATCATTCTATGATCCTGTTCTGCACCTTAAATCTTTAAAAATCTAACGATAGGTCTTGGAGATCTTTGCATGCTAGCACATAAAACCAGTCAGTTCTTCCTTACAGCTGCAAACGAGTCATTGTGTGTATACATATTTTATTTAACCAGCCTGCTGCTGATGGCCACTGAGTCAGTTTCCTGTGTGTTTTGCTGTTATGATTGCAATGGACGTCTTTGCATATGTGTCTGCCCTCGTGTGTTTGTAAATCTGCATGCTAGTTATTAATTTTGATAGGTAGTAACTAACATGAGTTATATTATGATATCATTCATTAATTTAGCAAATATTTAATGAGTGTCTCTGCTCTGTGCTGGGTGCTGTTTGCTACACGTGGCTGAATTTTAAGCTGTAGGGTAAAAAAGATGGATACCAAATTCCATATTCAAAATGTACAACAACACATGCAGACACAGATGTATTTATAGGTGAGACGTGGTCCCTGCCCTCTAGGCTCTGGCGGTCTGCGGCAGCACACACAGGTGTGTGCACAGGTGGGCTGCAGTAACACTTCCAGATTCAGTGCTATCTAAGTGGCCAGCATGGTCTTTGGCACATAGTAGGTGCCCTAGAGCTATGTGCTGAATGAATGGAGGGGGTTCAGAAAGGCCTCCCGGGGAGATGGCTCTGAGCTCAGCCTTTGGGGTCCAGCAGAGTTATCACCAGAGGCATGGCAGAGGGTAGAGCCCCCAGAAGGACCAAGGCGTGGAGGTGGGAACTCACACCGTACATGAGGGGGATGCTTTCAGAGTGATGGTCCCAGGAGCTTTTGTTTTCTGTGTATGTGACACTGCAGTGCTGTGTTTCCCCCCAGTCACGTTCCATTGGCCTCAACCCGCTGTACGTCATGCTCCCCTGCACCCTGAGTGCGTCCTTTGCCTTCATGTTGCCTGTGGCCACCCCACCTAACGCCATCGTGTTTGCCTACGGACACCTCAAGGTTTCTGACATGGTAATGCAGCTGCTTTTATTTCCTCCTATCAGCTCTGATGCTTTTGTCATGAGGGACACCCTATTTATTAATGACTTGTGATATCATGTAATTTGGGAATACCACCCAAAGTCCAGCCCTACCCTCATTATTTGCATTTATGTGCAGTTTTTCTTCCTTTTTGAAATCATCTCGCATTTCATACTGTCCTGTCTCCCAAAGCTGAGAGGGGGTGATAGAATCTCCCACCTGGAGGTGCCCGAGACTTAGGAAGAGCCACCAGGGGAGCCCTCGCTGAGCACTTGGAAGGGGTGAGGGTGGCAGTGGGGCACCCCTTTTTTATCTTTATCTCTTTTTTGTTTTATTTTGTGAAAATATTCAGACACACAGAAAAGTTGAATTATACAGGGAACACACCTAGATTCTACAGCTATCATTTTGCTATATTAAGAAAAGTCTGAAATTATAATTCCGGATATACCTATACTCAGAATCAAAAGCAGCATTTCCAGTTAGTTTATGTATAGTGATGAAGATCTGGGTCTGGCACTAAAGGCATGGAAGAAATTTTTAATCTTACCTAAGAGCCCCAGCCTGCCATGGCCAAGATGGACTTCACCAACTAGCAAGAACCTGTAAGGACAGTCAGGAGGGACAAGGCTGAGATGGGTCGAGGGGGTGGATACTAATGACAGAGATTGACCGACAGAGGTGTCTGCAGACATGGAAGTGGGGACAGGGAGAGGCAGTGCCTGGGAGAGATGGGGCCTTGGAAACAGATGCAGCTGGAGGAGGAACTCTCTTAGGTTCTCCTTGGGCTCTATCGCCTCTGCCAGGAGAAGGGGCCAGTCTCAGAGGCGGACAGGCAGGAAGGGAGGGTCCTCTCTCAGTCCAGTCAGGTGTGAGTGATCTCAGAGCCTCCGCTGGGTATCTTTGGGAGTCTGTGGAACATTCTTAATAAGAAACACGGACCACAAACTCAGTTCCAATCCCCAGTGAAAAATCTACACAGGGCTTGAAGCAGTGGGTAGTGAGGGAGAAGAAAGAACTGGCATCAGAAAGAGCCAGGGAGGTTCTTGAGAAACCAGAAGGTGCTTCAGGGACACAAATGTTCAGGGTGAGCACAGGCCCTACACTCAGACATAGGCTCCCCCAATATTTCTCTGAGTGGCCTGGGCTGTTGCCTCATGTCCCTCCCTAAGGCCCAGTGTTGCAAATGTTCAAGCAGGCAGACAACCCACCATCATGCCTGTTTCCCAGGGATGCTTGAGCACCGATGACACTTACTGGCTATGAAATTGCTCTGTCTGTGGGGTAAGGTGAGCACAGAGCATGACCCAGGGATGGGGCCCAGCAAACCAGCCGGAAGCCCCTTCTCTGAGAGCACTAGTTCCCAGTGTCCCTTTCACCTCTCTTTTGAATCCTGCTGACTCTTGGCCCTGATCTTCCCCAGGTGAAAACAGGAATAATGATGAACATAATTGGAGTCTTATGTGTGTTTCTGGCGGTCAACACCTGGGGACGGGTCATGTTTGACCTGGACAGTTTTCCTGACTGGGCTAATGTGACTCATATTGAGACTTAGGAAGAGCCTCAAGTGCATAACACAGCCCCGCCTTCCTGAGGACTTCCGAAGCTTCCGGCACACCGTACAGCAGAGCTTTGGGGTTGACACCCCAAAGTGACCTGATGATGCCCTCACCCCACAGAGACCCCAGGCCCAGGTCCCAGCTGGGGACAGGTGGCGGAGGGCCGGTTTGGAAATTAAGGGAGCGTCCCAAGACCCAGATGGCTTCCATCTTTCCGGGGTCATGCCTCGAACTCTGGGACAGGCAGCCTGCACGCTGGGTTCTGGTGTCCACTTGCTTAGTCTCAGGGTCATCTAAATGGGGATCAGATCCCAGCTTGGGAGGTGAAAAATGACCTTCCAGAGCCTGCACCTCCTGCTGCTGACCTTGGGCTGCCTCGGATCACTCCTGTCACTTGGAAGGGACAACCCAGCCCAGGGACAGAACGTCTGGTCCTGGGAAGCTTCCTGCTGCTGGAGTGAGAGTGGGACTCAGAGCCTCCTGGAACCACCAGGAGGATAATGCCAACACCAAAGGATGAGGAATTTGAACCGATAACTTCCGGTTGACATCACCCATGGTACACCACTGGCCTACCAGCTCCTCTCCTTACCTTGCTCCATTGAACTGACAGTTCAGAGCCCTTTCCCCGCTCTCTAGAGCACCTCCTTCAACTCCTAGGTCCCTTTGTTGTCTGGGCCAACATTCACTGGGATCTGGCTGGGGCCTTCTGGCACCCCCTGTTCTCCCAGCCAGGTCAGCTTGGCTCTCCTGGGAGTTGGTCTTCCTGCCACCCCACACAGCTGGGATCACACTCCAGGTATGGGCACGATGGTTTCTTTGGGAACACAGTCAGGTATCTAGGTCCTCCCTCACCTGAAGACCCAGAGCGGATACAGCTGTGAATTGCCTAGAGCAGCGTCCCTTCGGAGTTTGTCCTAGATCTAGAGTTTGAGCTCCCCTGGGGAAGACCTTCCCTTTGCTGACTGGCCTTCACAGCCACTCCTGGTGGGGACAGAGCATCGCTGAGAATGACAGTGCTTAGTGGTCCCTGAGCAGACAGTCCCTGCCCATGAGTGAACCTGCATGAAATTGCTGGAGCAAAGACCCCAGAATGACTGTGGCCACCACATCTGCCTCCCACAAAAAGGTGCACGGTGCTGCCTGTCTGGCATTCGAGGGTGGGGAGGGGCCGGCGGATGAATGAACACTACTCACTGCCCACCTCCTGTGTCAGCCTCCCTGGTGCAGCCACCACTTATCTCATTTGACCTTATCCACTATTTATCTCATCAGCCCTATGAGACAGGCAGGTGTTAGTATCCTTGGTTGTCTCTCAAGAACCCTGAGGCTCTGAGAAACCAGCAAGTCATATGTCCTGTCACACATCTAGTTAGTAGCACTTAGGGTTCCAATCTAGGTCTTCAGCCTTCGTGACCACTGCTCCTTCCTCGAGTCATTAAGGGCCTTGGCCTTAGAAGGCCTGTGTGGAAAAGTGAGTGGCCAAGAGCACGTCCACCCAAGGCCCTGCCACTTCAGGGAAGATCACCCAACAAGAGCCCCTTTCTGCCACCTCCTCTGAGACGGGCTCAGGACACTGTTGGGGCAGAAAGGGCTGATCTTTGCCCAAAAAAGCAAAGCAGTTGATCCATTCTGTCATTTCTGCTCTCTACTCGGGTGCTGCGGACGTGTCTGCCACACCAGCCTCAGGGCTCCTGAGGACTTACCCTGCCTGCTGGTCCAGTGCCAGCTCTGTGACTGACCCAGAGCAGGCCACCATACGTGTCATTGGTAAATAAACAAGTGATCAGTGAGGTCTGTTAGCTGTATGTTTTGTGGTAAAGGGCAAGGTCAGTAAAGGCCATCCAAGGTTCGCATTGAAAGAGGAGTAGGACTGGCCAGGCTGCTGAGGGCATGTGGTGAGGTGGGTGGAGGGCTCTACTGGACTCCATGTGCTCCACGGATGACAAGCAAGCTGGGTTGGGGCTTCAGGACAGCAGATCCCACGGCTGGAGAGGCTGACCAAAGGCTGCTTCTATACAACTTCTCTTGAAGTTGGTTGGAGTCACACTAACAGTTATGGCCAGTGCCAATCAGGATTGCTTTTGGCTACAAGTAAGAGAGAAACCCAGCTAACGGTAGCTTAAACCATAAGGGCTTTTAATGTCTACTTAACAAGAAGTCTGGAGGTAGACAGCTGCTGATATTGGTCCAGCCGCTCACTCAGGCCACCAAGGGCTTGGGCTTTACCGTCCACTCTGCCATTCTAAGGGTGTTTTGCCTTTCTTTACTCCATGCTTGACCCTCATGCTACATACACATCTGTATTGAAGGCAGGAAGAAAGAGGTGTGGGGTGGGGGCATGACAGTGTCTGCTTCATCTTTCCCTTTTATTAGGAAAGCAAAAACTTTCTCAGAAGCCCTTACAGACTTCCCTTCATATCTTATTTGCCAGAACTAGGTCATATGCCCACCCTTAGCCAATCACTGACAAAGGGTAATTGGAATGCTATTGGAATACCATGAGGCTAATTAGGACTCGTCTCTTGGGCTTGGGGAACTGGCCTGTTTCCTGAAATGAAGAGATTTCCACTCACTACAAAACCTGGGTTCTGCTGGAAAAAAGAGGGGGAGCTATTGGGTAGGTGATGTCCACGGTCGGGTGCTAGGACCCTTTCAGAGGAGCCCTTACTCCAGGCTGCCTGAGTGGCTGCCTTTCCATGGGACTCAGTGAAACATGTGCCTAGGAGGAAAGAGAGTACCTGGTTGTCTGGTCAAGGGCTTCGCGTCAGCTCTGCTTCCAGTTCCCAAAGGCCAGGACTCCCCAGGGGACCCACTGGATTGGGAGGCTAGAGCCTGAGTCATGAACTGAGCTTGGTCCTGACATCTGACACCAGTCAGTCCACTCTCTGGGCCTCAGTTTCTATCAGGAAGGGGCTGGACCAGAGGATGTGTAAGTCCTGTCTCCCTTACCCCATCTGCTCCTCCATCTGCTTGGGCCAGATGCAGTCCCCATGCGGTCTCATGGGGATTCTGTTGCACAGCCCACCCTGTGCCCATCCGGGTCTTAGCCATTTGCTGAAAACCCTTTCAGACCTTTTCCTAAGGACCTATCTTGCCTCTTACACTTGGTAAAGAGGTTCAACCCAAGACCCTTCAGTTCTCTCTAAGGCAAGCATGTCAAACTCAAAGGCTAACAAAGGCCAAATAAACAAGAAGGCCGCGAGTTTGACATGCTTGCTCTAAGCAGTGGTTCTCAACCTTCCTAATGCCGGGACCCTTTAATACAGTTCCTCATGTTGTGGTGACCCCCAACAGTAAAATTATTTTTGTTGCTACTTCATAACTGTAATTTTGCTACTGTTATGAATCATAATGTAAATATCTGATATGCAGGATGTCTTTTCATTGTTACAAATTGAACATAATTAAAGCATAGTGATTCATCACAAAAACAATATGTAATTATATATGTGTTTTCCGATGGTCTTAGGCGACCCCTGTGAAAGGGTCGTTTGACCCCCAAAGGGGTCTCGACCCACAGGTTGGCGACCCACGGGTTGAGAACCGCTGCTCTAAGGCATCTGGATCAGTCATTTGGGCCCAAGGTAGGCTGAACACAGAATCCTAACCAGGACTGCTCTCAACTGTGTTCCAGGAGCCCACACGGATCCTATGCCTTCCAAAGATCAGAACCTGGGGTTCCTTCCGCTCTGATCCCCCAAGTGGGATCCTTCCCTGACCCTCTGACCTGAGAACTTCCTTAGGGAAAGGCCTGGGCCTCCTCCTGTGGCAGGACCAGGGAGCAGGGCACATCCTGGGACACGTGAAGTTCTCTCTCCTCCCTCTCATCTCACACACCAACAAAAATAATGGATAGTGAGGTGTTTGGTCTGGACTCCAAGCAGGGAATCATGTCAGTAGCGCACTCCAATTCTCAAAATCAATACGGACATTCCTGGGTAAGGCCCTTGATGGCACATTCCTGTTTGCAGAAATAAAGACCAAATGCTGATCAATTAAAAACCAGACATTGCATCCTAATCTTACCTAAGAACCCTCTCCCCCTAGTCCCACAGCCTCTTAAAAGCTTTGTCCCCCAACCCACCAGGGAAGCGTCTTTTATATTAAAAAAAATATTACATCCAGATGAATCTCCCTCACCGTGGGATGGGTTTTCACATTCCTTCACAGAAAGCTTGTCATTTCAGGCTGAAATCCTTGCAATCAGATCTTCCGTTTCTTTCCCCTGGTGTCGTGATTCAGGGCTCTCGTTCTCACTTCCCAGCCCAAGGAATGTTCTCCTGGATCTGCTTGTCCAAACACCCCTCCTCCCTCAGAGACACAAGCCACGACCCCTGGTAGTTCCAGAGCAGCACGTAGCCGCTGCTTCCAGCTCCGGAGGGGAGGGGAATACTCAAATTCAATCTCGGAGCACCCTGTTATCCTATCAAGAAAGTTAAACTAATTAAAAATATATATATATGTATATATTGATTTTTCAGAGACAGATGAACAGAGAGAGATAGATAGTAACATTGATGAGAGAGAAACATCATTGATGGGCTGCCTCCTGCACACCCCCTACTGGGGATGGAGCCTGCAACTCGGGCATGTGCCCTGACCGGATCAAATGGGTGACCTCTTGGTTCCTGGGACGATGCTCAACCATTAAGCCACACCCTCTGGGCTTAAACTAATTTTTATATTTAAAAAAATATGAACAGGGTCAAAGAAATGCTAACAGTACAAAAAGTACTGAGACATGGCCCTCCCACTTCAGGCTTGAGGCCTCCATCCCCCAGAGAGACAGGCACCGTCAGCAGTGCCTTCCGCGTCCTCCCAGAGATGGTACCGTCTGAGAGCTTCTGGAATAGGTGCACATCCTCTGTCACAGACGGGAGCACCATACCCATTTCCCGCCCTTGCTTCCACCGCCCACCCCATGCCCACACCCCAACCCTGCTACATTTATTCGGGGATCGTTCCATTTCAGGACATGTGAAGTTTGACTAGGGTGTGTTTTATTTTAATTCAATAAATTTTGTTGTTAAACGGAGCCAGAATTAAATGCAGTTCCTGTGTACAATTCAGTGATGTAGACAACTGTGTCCATTGTGTCAGCA